ACTAAAGGGAGAAATAATGAGAAATTTGGAAAAGACATGTACAAATGATAATTAAGAAGGTTTTATGTTTTTATGTCTTGTTTTATGTTTTGTATTTTGTGTGTTCATGTTTGATTGAGAATTAATAAAACCTTGATAGAAAGAAATATAATTGAATAAAAGTGAAGGGAGAAACAATGAGAAATTTGGAAAAGATATATAGGTGTTTAAATGGAAATGTGATAATTTGGAACTATGCTGTATAAATGTTTATATCTGATTGAGAATTAATAAAATGATAGAAAGAAATATAAATGAATAAAAGTGAAGGGAGAAATAATGAGAAATTTGGAAAAGATATATATGTGCTTAAATGGAAATGTGATAATGTGGAACTATGCCTTAAAAAATAATGTTTTATTTGCCTTGTTAAAACTTATAAGTAATTTTTTTAGAAAGGAGGTTTTATGCCTTTATGTCTTATGTTTTGTTTGTCTTTAAAAAATCAATAAAATTTGTTTATAATAAAAAAAAAACAACAGTGGTGTCCCCCAAGGCAGTGTTCTAGGACCCACACTCTTTATACTCTACATAAATGACCTTTGCAATCATCTTCACGGATGACATAAAACTATTCAAAACCACCGACAATGCTACTGTCCTTCAAAGTGACCTTGATTATGTGTCTGAATGGTCAAACAATTAGCAACTCCAAATCTCGACCAACAAATGTTCTGTCCTACACATTGGTAAAAAAAATCAGTACACCAAATATAAGCTAGGTGGATATGACCTCGTTGATGACCCTCTGTCAAGGACCTCAGAGTACTCATATCAAATGACCTAAGTGCTAGAGCTCACTGTAACAGCATTGCTAAAAAGGCATTAAGAGTTGTAAATCTAATCTTACAACTAAAAATCTAAATCTAATCCAGTAACATTGAATTGCTAACTAAGGCATATAAAACCTTTGCTAGACCAATATTCAAATACAGCTCAACTGTCTGGAATCTGCACTGTATATCTGACATTAATACAATCGAGCAAGTCCAGAAGTATTTCACGAGAACAGTACTACATTCCTCTGCTCACAACAGAATAACCTATATTACAGGCTTGAAATTTTGGGCTTGGATGATCTTGAACTACTCCGCCTACGGTTGGACTTAAGTGTAGTACACAAAATTATCTGCTACAATGTCCTACAGTCAATGACTATTTCAGCTTCAACTGCAACAATATAAGAGCACACAACAGATACAAACTCAATGTAAACTGCTTCAAACTTGATTGCAGAAAGTACGACTTCAGCAACAGAGTAGTCAATGCCTGGAATGCACTACCTGACTCTGTTGTTACATCCTCTAACCCCCACTCCTTTAACCTTAAACTATCCACTATTGACCTCACCCATTCTTAAGAGGTTTGTAAGGAACATTCATAAGTGCACAATCGTGCCTACCGTCCCTGTCCTATTGTCCCCATTTATTTGTACCTATTTCCTGTATTCTTACTCATGTTTATATTTACACCTATTATCAAATCAAATAAAAAAATAAAATAAAAAAATAAATGCTTGACTATTTTGCATAGGAAAGTCCTTTTTGTTGTTTAATTGCACAAATTTGGTTAATAATGGATATTTAATATTTCTATAACACTTGAGTATTTGATGTTTTTCCCTTTCATAGACACATGCATGAAATGTATTCACAACACATCTGTGTTTTTCTTTACACTGTGCTCTTTTCTGAACTCATTTAATGTTTTAATGTTTCATAAAATACCATGGGTGTTACCTGTTAAATATTTAATCTCTTCGATCCAGAAGCATATGCAATAAATACATGAACTATTGAAAAAAATCTCTAATCCATTATTAAGGATAGATGTACAAATGATGTACATGTGGGTTAACATCAATTAATATTTCATAAAATTGGTGAAGGTGTTGGTCTAGAAACCAAGAGATTGTAAGTTCTCGTCCCATCTTAGCCATGAAAGCCAACTGTCTTTGGGCTAGTCTATCTCACAGGGTTGTTGTGGTGGAGAAAATAAGAGAATTAGGTATGTTTGCCACCTTCAGTTACTTCTAAAGCAGTGAAGGTGGGATAAAAATCTAACAAGTAATTATTTGCTCTGTATATCATGTACTTCTTAATAAAAACAAATAGCTTTCAAGCAGTTTTTAATATAGAAGCTTCACTCAATCTTAGCGTTATGGACAAAGAAGTAGCATTCTGCTGCTAGTGTAGTATTTCTTACATCAAAATGAAAAGCAATTCCTGGAAGAACCCAACTCTATAAGTTTTAGAAATACATTTTTTTTCATGCTGATGCTGAGTGTGGTTTACTACTCTTTTTCAAAACAAAAGATAGTCCCCATCCTCTAGCCATTCTGGACTAAAATTAAGAGTCATCTGTTTAATTTAGCACTTATATTGTTAGTTGTGTTTAAATGATATTTTTAAATATTTTCAATCCATTTTATTGCTTTTACTGTGCTGTTTAAATTTTTAGTAGGCTATTTCATTGTAATATGGTAAAAGGTTACCGATCACAATTAATTTGAAGTTCCACCTCAAATCTTCTTTCCTTTCAGGAAACATACATTCTCTTAAAAATATGAATAAAATCCACACTTTTTTGATACTGCTTTTAAATTCTAAACAACTAACAACAAGACTACTAAATCTTTTTTTAATGCACATTAGCCATCTTTAATTCAGAGATTTCTTCTTCTAAGATTAGAAACAGACTTTTCTTCTCAGCAAGCTAAACTTGCATCAGAACAATGACATTTAACATCATGACACAACATCCACTCTTAGATATAGTTGCATCATGATGCTTGATGGAAATATGTAAGCCTTGGGTTTTGTGTACATTGTTGTGATAGATGTTTTATTACTTGCTCCCACTGTACATGCCAACATTGGGATATTTGCAGCCAGACAAATCAAAATGATGAAAAGTGTATTGTGGCATCATGGTGCCCGTAAATAATGTGGACCATATTTATGGTGTACAAGGCAGGCATTGGCAGGAATTAATAGATTCTCCTGGCTTTGTTTCCCCCTCTCTTACTGAATGTCACCACTCAGTTGGAAAACATCCATCCATCTTTCTCAATGGAGCTGGAATTGGGGAAAAAGGGGCTATTGCAAGTTGACTTGACTGACTGATTTTGCACAAGTGTTCTTTCTGAGTGAGTATGTTCAAAGGGATTGGTGGATTCTCCCTGTTCAATATGGGTTTAGCTCTATTCCAGTGTTCAAAAGAAGCCCATGCATAAGGTGACAGGTGCAAAGAGTTATTCTGTGAAGCTGTGGAGAGATCTGCATACACACACACAAATTCTACTAGTCAGCTGCTTTTCAACCTGATTTAAGTATCTTAACCAGGGTGTAGTCTGAAGACTAGGTAGGTACAGGGGAAGAGTAATTCTAGAGGACAGTTCCCTGGGCCCAGAATTGAAAGGTTGTATCCAGTGAGCATACCTAAAACTCCTGCTTCTTATTTTTCCCACAAAAACAACCCAGTGAAATAGACGGCTTGGCTGAAAGAGTAAAAGTTATCTGGTGACTCCCATGCTTTAGGGGTGAACTAGAACTCATGTTCTCTTGGTTTTTAGCCCAGCAGTTTCACCACTACACCAAATTGGTTCTCTAAAGTGGCCAGTAGATGAAGGATTAGGCCATTCCTTAGTAGCTACCTTACCGCATAGTTAAAAGAATGGTTGGTGAGGTATATCCATAGCAAAACCTGTATTGGGTAAGAGAAAATGCCACTATTTTAACACGGGTACAGCTAGGGACAATTACTTCCACAGGTATCAGTGTGAGGGAATCAAATGCATTGTCCTGAGGACACAGCAAAAAAAAAAAAAGTTTCCACAACATATCTATATTGCTGTTTGTGCAAGTGAAGAAAATAGATCCTCTGAATTCAATAAGAACTAGTTTTTAAAAACCCTTTGATTTTAGTATAGATGAATCACAGCCCCCAACCCCACCCACCCCAATAGTAAATAGTACTCACAAATATAGTATCATTCTGATCTCATTAGGTTGAACATTAAGGAATGATTTTCTGTTGTACTTCAACCATCCTGCACAGGAATCCTCCCCCTGATACCAGCAAATTGTTTCTTTCTATGCCTCTGCCATTGTTTGATTTCCAGGGATTGCTTTACAGATTTGTAAAAGAGGAACAACCTACTGTAAGTTCTCATCTCATATAAAGCAGGCACTCTTCAATTTCACATGTTACAAACTATATATAAAATCAGAACACGTTTGCTGTTCTAGTAGTGATCAAGTAAACCAAAAAAAGTATTTAACTCCCCACATTACTTTGCTAAAGTGTTGAGATTTCATGTTTATTCTGCCAAGTTAATTATCAAAATGTACATGTCCCCAGTGCTCACTTAGCAACCTGCTTTCAGTGATGCCTCCCCTCGATCCACAATGGAAGGAAAAGCCACGGCAATGCACAAGTGTTTGTTCAACACAATTCTGAAAGCTTTGCAGAAACTGCTGAGTAAAACAAGACCTACCAAATTCGAGCACCATTAACAAGGGATAGAAGCTGTCCTCTGTTTGGGATCATGGTTTTTTTTTGTTGTTGTTATGGTTGTTGTAATACTGGGTTCAACAGCATTTTATTATTATCTTTCAAACAATATGTTGTGTTTCAGAAGAAAGCAAAACAATCCCACTGACTTGCTGGAAAAAAAAAGCGAAGCAAATGTTTTGTGTTTCCTGTAGCTGTTTACCTATTATTTATCAGGTGACTATTTCCAAACAATTCTAGAAATTTACTCTCATGAGTTTTATTTATTTATTTAAGAGCTTTGCCCTCCCTCGTCCAGATTCATTGTTAACAGAGCCTTCAAAAGAGGGAAACTCTTAGAAATTCTGTGCTAACTCATCTTTATTACAGGCACATCTATAAATTCTGAGGACACTTTTCCAATTGGAATCACAGAGGGATGCAACCAAAATGTGTAGCTGTAGAAGATGGAGAAAGACACCTTCAGCTATCAGGTAAGAAAAAAACGACCAGGAGAAATATTTTTATTATCTCCTCTCTTGAGCATTGGTACTACACAAAGATGGAGTATGTTTATATTACTAATAATTCAATATAGATTGATTTGAGTTTCCTCCTAAAATAAAGTTTTAGTAAGTCATGGTGGAGAAGGGTTTAACCAGCCACAAATCCCACTTCTTTTTGTCATGAACCTGAATCTGGCAAGTAGGCAAAATTAAAGCTATCAGTTATGGAGAATACTCAGCAAGCAGCTGAAGCACCTTTTTTCTTTGAAGCTGAAAGTCTCTTAAAGTCCCCTGTGCCAGCTAATTATTTGTACTAAATTGGAAAAGTTAACTGCTCCAAGAAGAAAAAAATTATAAGGTTGATAGAAAATATATTTAAATAACTATCACTGCTTCAGATCCAGAACACAAACTTTCTATATCCATGACAGTATTGGTTTTATAAAGTGTGTGTGTATTGGGTGAGAGAGAGAGACAGAGAGAGAGACAGGGAGAGAGACTGAGACAGAGATAGAGAAACAGAGTGACAGAGACACATAGAGAAAGACAGGGATCTAAGCACTTAAAATGCATCCAGATAGTTGCTTTAAACTGATGGAGATAGAATGTTGGGTTATCTGGAACTTGCATGATGTTGAAAGACAATACTTATGTTCTTTAGTTGACTATTGTGAGCATATTCTCATCTTGTTTTATTCAGCTTGTCACATGATATTGCCATCAATTCATACAGTTTTGAATGGATTGTTCAAATTGAGATTTTGTTTACTATAAAACCAGTATACAATATTTCAGAAAGTGAACCGTCCATTTGAGAAAGTATGACTTGGCAGAAATGCCATGCAATGTAACAAATTCCATCTAATATTTATGCTATGAAATCAAACATTCAAGTGAAACATTCTGGTGAATTGAAGGGTATGCCCTTCGACTTTTCTCGGCTACAACACAGAAGAGAAACATGGAATTGTGATTGACTTGTGATTTATGGGTTTGAACATTAAAAGTGGTAATTTATGAAAACGAAGGAAATTATGATGTAACCTTAGAGAGAGAGGGTAAAATACAAATGCATTTATAACTGTCAAAAAGATCAGAAGCTGCTTATTTATAATCTTTTCTTTCTATTTTCTGTATGTCTTACTTATTCACTATTCTTCCTTATTTTCTTTGTTTCTTTTCTAACTTTGGTATTGTTTGTATTCTATTAAAATGTCTCAATAAAAGTTAATATATAAAAAAGACTTGTTTTCCCTTTCCCTTTCAGTTTATAGTATTGCAACGTCCTGTTGTTTTCAATCCAAATCCTATGCAGCTTAGGTTTGTGAGGTCTACAAGCTATGAAAATTGTCTCCAGCAATTGTATGTTCTCAGCCTTGTAAAAAAAATTTACGGTTCCACAGGTTGGCCTTTTTTGCAGAGAAGGGAGAGAAAGATAATTAAATCAACGCAGTGGTTTGTTTCTATCAGACACAGTGTATTTAATCCCAGCAGCTAGATGGTAGCACCGGTTTGTGCATGTATTTATGAGCAGCACAGATTTGATCGAGGATGTTGAATTGACATTTACATATCAGACAAAAGAGGCATTTTTCTTTTTCTTTGTAGTCATTGAAAGATCATAGGAAGTTTGGTTTTCCACAAAGGGTATTGGTGCTCATAAACTAAGAGGCCAGTTTGCCTATAATCTGCCAATTAAAGATAATCAGGAAAAAATATAAGGAAAAACAAAAGACACATTATTTAAATATTTAAATTATATTAAAGGGGAAAAGCCTTTGAGTAGATTGTGACTTCAATGTGACCTTTTAAAATTGATGGTATACACATTTTATTTACAGGATCTCATTTCATGGCTGAAGCATTATAGTCTAAATGCATATTTCATTTAATTGAAGCTTTCTGAACAAAAAGAGTTTCTGATTTTTGCAGACGTCTTCTGGAGTTGACCATGAGGAAACTGATGGCAACCGTATGTGTGGATTGAGTAGCAGACAAAGAAGCAAGATCGGTGGGACAAAGCTCTCGGCAGCAGAACGTGAAACAATGGAGGAGTCTCTTCACGCAAACTCTTTTAATCAAGAAATACGGAAGCTGTATGTAGACAAACCCCCTCAATTGCAGGAAGCAGGTGAGACCCTCCCCAAAGATTTCCAGGTAAAAGAAGGCTTATCACATAGCCAAGAAGAATTGTGCAGAGATGACGCAGAAGATTGCAGGGGTGTAGAATCCTTTGGCAGAAAAGAGCAAACATTCGAAACAGACATAGAGAGCAAAGATGAGCAAGTGGGGTGGCTAGATACAAGGAGAAGTGAGGAGACTTCTGAAATAGGAGGCGTGAAATTCTGAAATTAGGGGGCGTGCATAAGTGCACCAACGTGCCTACCGTCCCTGTCCTATTGTTTCTCTTATTCTTTTATTTTTCTTATATGTACCCATTTCATGTATTCACAACTATGTATACACTAAATAGCATCACGTGAAAATAAAACTTGCTCAGTGCGGGATGGGAGTAAGTTCCACCCGACAGAGGAGATGGACGGGGATCATCCTATAGCAACCCAGGAAAAAGAAGACAGCAAAGATGTGTCTGTTTTGGAGCCTGGCATTTCCAACCAAACTTTGCAAGAATTTACAAGTGTATTGAAAGAGAGTCCCTTGTTAAGCAACTGGACCTGGGACAGCAATGAACTCAGGGCTACCTCTTGCCATGCATTTCTGAAGTCTAGGGAGGAACAATGTCAATGCATGGAAACTCTTCCTCCTCATTTAGGAAGCATTGACCACAAAGTTCCCATTGTGCACACGCATGGATCAGGGCAAGGAGGAAAGTCCCAACTGGGTTACAATTCTGCTGGGTTGGAGAAACAGCCATCAAAAAGGGATGATTTGGAACAGCCTGTTGGGAGCCAACAGGCCCCTGTTCCAAAGGTGGTCAGAGCTCCACCTACTAACTTTGAGCCCACATCTGGTAAGAACATTAAGTCCCATGTGAAATAGTGCTATTATCAGCCAAGCATGCAATAAAAAATAAGATTGCTGTAATTGATACTATGGCATTATATGCTATCTTCATTCAAAGCCAGTGTCATGTGTATAAGGAGATATAAAAGAAAATGATAAACCACAACAATAAGCAAATTATAAGGAAAATGAGTCAAAACAGTATCAGATCTGTTAAAATGGCAGCAAGTTGCAGCATCAAGATAGAATGAGATGGTGTGGACTGTTAGGTGCCATTGCAAAGATTTCATTCCCACCCGTCCACTATATAGTACAGAACCTATTCTGGAAAATTATGTGTTCCACTTTGGTGATGACATTTGTCAGATTATTAAATTTACCAGTTACCCTATTTAACATTATGTATTTCTTGAAGAAGAGTAGTGTCTATGCCTGTGTGTTCTTTGTGCCATTAACAATAAGAGAGTGTCTGGCTTTGATGCATAGAAATGAGAAGAAACCTGGATCAGATTTTCTTCTTTGTTTGGTGGGTATCAAGTTGTGTTGCTGTCAGTTCTCAAACCCAGAGAGCCATGATTTCTTAAAAAAAAAAAAAACCTTGAGGATACCTGACCTGAACTATTTCCACTTCTCAGAGGAGCTTTGGGGCTATTCATATGAAATTAAATGATGACACCTGGTGGACTGTGTCTTTGAGTTTCAAATCTCAAAAGGTCTTTCAAGATGCAATGAGTTCTTTACACATTACAATTTTAATTGATATGTTACTTGTCATGTGTCTTACATATAACTTTCATCTATATAGTCAACTTGGGTTCCCCTTCCTGCTCCCTTCCTCATCTTCATTTAAATCCTACATCAGTCTAGTTTAACTGACTTGCAGCTGACAAAAGTTTACATTTTTTAAAAAATAAAATGTATTAGTCAGAGCAGGTGCTATCAGACTTCTGATTTTTCAATAAGGGTAGATGTATATTTTATTTATTTATTAAATTTATATGCCACCCATCTGTCTAAGAAGTGTCTCTGGTTTCTAGCAAAAAAGGCTTATAAGAGATATAATATCAAACAAGAGTTGTATGGCTTTTAAGTCATTTGGCTATTCTTATTGAAATTCTCTTAAAAGCCTATTAAATTCAGTTTTGATGATGTAAGAGATTCCAATTCCACTCTAGATTGTGTGGGAAACAAAAGGTGGTAGCTTTAATTGGCTCCAGTTTGGAAACAATCCTATGGACTTTTCACATAAAAGAGACTAATGAATAATAGAACCAGTGGGTCAGCAAGCATAAAAAAGGCTAGTATTTTTCTTTTATCAGCAGCAGATCACTAATTAGACTTCCTCCTCAAATAATTTGGCTGTGGATTTACTATCTTGAAAAACTGGGATTAAAATTAATTAATTTTGCTCAATTAGGTACCATCAAATTTGTCTTTACTTTTATCAATCACATAGATAGGTTTTGTTCAAAATGATCTATGCCTAGCCTGTTTTTTCAGGTCTTCAAATGGTGCCCTCATTGCCACAATAACTAAATCTGTCCACCTTGCTGTTGTCCTCTTCTTCACTTTCTTTCCATCTTTTCCATTATTAAAGCCTTTCCCAGAAAGCTGGGTTTTCATATAATATGTCCAAAGAAGGATAATTTACCTTTGTAATTTGTACCTCCAGTGAGAACACTGCTTTACGTAATTAGCTGTCATAGGCCTATCTTATATATATTTCCTTTTCCCTTCCTCTTTATCCATCTCCATTATTAAATCAGTGAGCTTCCACTATGTATAGCATAATATATTTACAGGTGGTCCTTGGTTTATAAGTGTTCACTTAGCAATCATTCAAAGTTCCGATGGCCACCTCCCTTTATATGATCACCTGATCACATTTCCAACATTTGGCAAACAGCCCATATTAATTACCATTTGCTACATCCTGTTGTTACGTGACTGAGATTTATAACTCTTTTTTTTCTGCTGGAAACTAGTATTTACTTCCTGTTTCTGGCAAAAAAAAGTCCATGGGGTACAATGCATTTGCTTAACGACTGAGGCATTCATTTAATGACTGTGGCATTCACTTTATGACTATGTCCCAAAAAGTTTGTAAATTGGGTGCAGTCATGGGCTCAACTACAGTTGTAATCTAGGACAAGCTTGGCTTTATTTGAAAATCACGTACAAGTGCAGTAATCTCTTATTTGGGATACACAAAATATTTGTATTGAGTTATTTCTCAAAGTCCAGTACTATTAAAGTGACTGGCTTCTTCTTCAAAAGAAGGGCTGCTTTAAAGGCTTTCTTGACATGCTGCATGCCTTGGTCATAAGTGTGAGAAGTGTGTTGAGTTAATTCCCGTTAGGAGAATGAGCTCATACAGGGAGACGTAGTGAGATAAAGATATTTAAATAATAGTTATATAAATTTTACAAACCAACGAACAAGTGTGCGTGCAAAGTCAACACTGTTGGAACTGGCAGCACAGGTGCACAAGTAATAGGGAAAGCCAAGCCAAGTCTTCCAGAGGAGGATGCTACTTTAACACTCTAAGGAGGAGCACCTTACTTGGGCCAATGAGTTTGAGAAGGGTCTCTTTTGAACTTTGTACACAGTCCTATTATGTATAGTTTTCCCTAACTTCCTTCTCGTGTAAATGTTCAAGATTCAGTCTTAAGACAGGTTCCCTTCATTCCAAGTGCGAATTCAAAGCAGGTTGAATCCTTCAGCTTCTTAAGGGCATCCAACTCTCAAATATTGTGTCAAAAAAGTATGTTAATGGTAAATATTTAAATCCTGCCTTACGGTGATTGCATTTTAATTTTTCATTTAAAGAAAAAGAATCCAGAAGAGATTCCAGTGGGAAGAAACTGGGCAGTGACCATTTTCTTCACTTCGCTTCTGAGATAGAGCACATCGAGGAACAGATGGCAAGGGACAATGTCCGCTTTATCAGGTTTGAAACCACAGATATCCACGGTGTGTCAAGATCCAAGAGCATCCCCTCTCGGTTTTTCCGGGTATGTCTGTATTCTTTTCCCGTTTCTTGGCCGCAGTGGCCCTCCTTTTGCTATTTTGCAAATCTATTGCCTCCGGTATTGCCATAGCTTGCCCATAGGTTCATCAAAAACCTTCTAAATATGTTTTATTACTCTCTCTCCCTCTATTATTAAGAAAATGTAATTCATGCAACTTGGCAATGTGGGTTCTTTTTAGACATCCAAGCTTTTCTTCCTCAGATGCATGTTTTTTTTTTAATTGATTACCTTAGCAAAAGGTTGGTTTGATCTGATCCTAGCAAATTTCAAGAGTCCAAGGCAAACAACTAGAGATACTAAAGAGACAGCATGTGAATTATTCTAGTGACAAAAACTCCCCAAACTCTCTGAGTGCTTCAATCCAATCAGGTAATACCACAGAAATGCATGATTTAAATTGTAGCACAGCATTAGTTATTTTGTTAAGCAACAATTAAAGGTCACATTATATATTTTTGGTAATAGTTCTATGGAAAATAGAGCTTACCAGTAGCTTTTTTACAAGTTATTTCTGCAATACCCAGTATGGATAGCTTATAGGAGGCACTTTTGCTTAATTCTTATTATGAATATTTCAGATTTCATTCAGTGATCATAAAAATAGGCAGTAGCATTTGCTTTCATGCTATATTTCCTTTGAACTTTAGAAAAAATACATTTTACTTTATTTTGTTTTTAGCTCTTGCTTCATTAGGCTCTGTTCTTTCAACTTTAAGGTTAGATCTATTGTATTTCATTGATGTCATTAAGGCATTAACAGATATCAGCTATTTTCCATGGAATTTAGTGCTGCTAAAAGATAATTAAGCTAATAGCTTATGTAGTCATTCTGTGTGTGTTTTGCCCAGCTGTTTTCTAAAATAACTTATACTTGTTTGAATTAATGCCATCTTAAGAAAATTAAACTTGACATGGAACTATAAATCATTACTTTAAAATACTATTATCGCTGCTACTGTGATAGCAAGAGTCATAAAATATGATAGGAGTACTTTTTATTCTTATTTACCCAAAGTCTCAGATCATGAAGAAGCAGGAATACAGCTTGTAATTCATTTTTTGAATTAAAAGCTCTATTAAGTCACACTCACACAATTGTGCATACCCAATTCACAATCTAGCTAGCAAGGCTGGATTTCAGGAGAATTGAATAGGACACCTCAGTACCTCATTCTGTATGATTGCTCCTAAACACTATAATTTCTTTCTAATATTATACTTTCCAGCAAAGCTTCGCCTGTCCCAGTGTAGCAGTCTTTTCTTACTGCTTTGTACTTTTCCATCAGAATTCCATTGCCTCATTCAGTTCACATGGGAACCAGCTCTTCTACAAATTTTTTCTTGTTTTCAGAACCATTTTTTCTATTTTCATGGTGAACTTCATTCTGTACTTTTCCACATGTGTAGCAGTTGACATTTCTTAGAACAATCCTTCTATCTTTATGGCCTGTTTTATGGAACTCTCATGTATTCCATCTTCTACGCATGTGCACTCATACATTTATTTATATATTTATTTTTATCCTGCTTCCTTTATTTTTATAAATAACTCAAGGCAGTGAATGTACCTAATAGTCCTTCCTCCTCCTATTTTTCCACAACAAAACCACTGTGAGGTGGGTTTATTTATTTATTTATTTATATGGTTTGTCAATTGCTTACAAGATAATAGGTATAAGTAAAAACATTGTTATGAATACATGGATTTATAAAAGAAAAATAAAAAAATAAAAGAAACAATAGGACAGGGATGGTAGGCACGTTGGTGCACTTATGCACGCCCCCTACAGACCTCTTAGGAAAGGGATGAGGTCATTAGTAGACAGTCTAAGGTTAAAGTTTTTGGGGTTTGGGGAAGAAACCACAAAGTCAGGTAGAGTATTCCAGACATTGACCACTCTGTTGCTGAAGTCGTATTTCCTGCAATCAAGTTTGTGCGGTTAACTTTGAGTTTGTATCTATTGTGTGCTCTTGTATTGTTATACAATATTGAAGCTGAAGTATTCATTGACAGGTAGGATATTGCAATGTATGATTTTATGTACTATACTTAGATCGGACTGAAGGCGGCGTAGTTCTAGATTTTTTAGGTCTAGAATTTCAAGTCTGGTGGCATAAGGTATTCTGCAATGAGTAGAGTAGTGTAGAACTCTTCTTGTGAAATATTTCTGGACTTTCTCAACTGTGTTAATATCAGATACATAATGTGGGTTCCAGACTGATGAGTTGTATTTGAGTATTGGTCTAGCAAATGTTTTGTATACTCTAGTTATTAGTGTAATATTACCAGAGAAAAAGTTACACAAGATTAGGTTAACAACTCTTATCGCCTTTTTGGCTATGTAGTTACAGTGGGCTCTAGCACTTAGATCATTAGAGATGAGTACTCCAAGGTCCTTGAGAGAGTTTGGATCATCAACAAGGTCTTGACTATTCAGCCTGTATTTTATTTTCTGTTCTTTTTTGCCAATATGTAGGACAGAGCATTTATTTGTTGAGATTTGAAGTTGCCATTTGTTTGACCATTCTGATACATAGTCAAGGTCTTTTTGAAGGGTAGCAGTATTGTCTGTGGTGTTGAATAGCTTTACATCATCAGCGAAGAGAACACAGTTGCTCTTAATATGATCACAGAGGTCATTTATGTAGAGTATGAAAAGAGTTGGTCCTAGAACACTGCCTTGGGGGACACGACAGGTAAAGAATTTGATAGGACGTTCCCAATTTTGACCATTTGTTGTCTGTTTGACAGGAATGCTTCTATCCAGTTATGCAGGTGTCCAGAGAAACCATAAGATTTTAGTTTTAGGAGTAGTTTGTCGTGTATTACTGAATCAAAGGTTTTACAGAAGTCTATGTAGATTCCATATGTTTTTGCAGTGTAAGAGTTGCAGATTACATGATAGTTTTTTCCTGAAACCAAATTGTTTATTAGAGAGTAGGTTGTTTGTTTCTAAGTGGAGGATGATGGATTGGTTAATAATTGATTCCATGACTTTACAGGTGACGCAGCATAAAGAGATTGGTTTGTAATTTTCAACTAGACTGGGGTCTCCCTTTTTGAAGATGGGGATGACCATGGCTTGTGACCATAATTTTGGGAAGGAGCTGGTCCTGAAAGATTTTTCAGAGATTATGCTTAGAGGTTCAGCTACGGCAGTGGATAGCTTTTTCAAGAAGTAGGCACATATTCCGTCTGGTCCAATAGATAGAGATGGTTTTAGATTGCGTAGTGCTTTTTCAACATTGTCTTGTCAGGTTGGGCTGAGAGAGAGGATTGGACCAAAGTCATCCAGCTATCTTTCATGCCTAAAGAGAGACTAGAACTTACAATCTCCTGGTTTCTAACCTGGTGCTTTAACCACAGAGGTGGGATGCTGCCAGTTCACACCAGTTTGGGTGAACTGGTAGTTGATTCTGCACAGTTCGGTGAACCAGCAAATCCCACCACTGGCTGGCCCCACCCCTTCTTATTTTTGGCTTGTTTTCTGGGCCGTTTTTGGGGCATTTTTGGGCCTGAAAACAGCCCCAAAACAGCCCAAAACAGCCTGAAAATGATCCCCCAAAAGGCCAAAACACAAGCCAAAAAATGGGCGTGGAGGGGTAGGGCCAGCCAGTGGTGGGATTAGCTCCAACCAGCTGAATTTTAATTCTCTGCCTTTGAGGAGAGTGGCTGGGAGGCAGGGCGGGGTGTGATGAGTGATGTCACCCACCCAGTCACATGACCAACCGGCCACGCCTACCAATCTAGAGAACCTGTTGTTAAGTTATTCAAATCCCACCACTGCTTAACCACTATACGAAACTGCATAGCACTGACAATATGGCAGCCCCACTCTGATATTAATGATAAAACTGGCCATAGCTGATGGTGTTACTGTATATTGGTGTATGGTTAACTACTGAATAACACTATGACTATTGTTATTATTGATGCTATTTTTAGAAGATGAAATAAAATACTACAGCCTGAGCTTTACTTTGTGCACTACTAAAATACTATTACCAAAATGGTGGGTAGTCTCACTGTGCTCAAGTACCGAGTTTACCATGCTGCTGTTTGTTGGACTGGCAAGATTTTGCCATGTTCAATAGGCCAGTCTGTCCACTCCCATTCAGTGAAGAATGAGAGAAACACTCTCGAAAGCATTATTAGCACAGGAGAGAGACAGAAAACATATAGATGTTTCCTTGCATTGGTAGGAAATAGGCAATGAAGCATCTTCTTTGATAACCACACAAATTTGGAGTGGTGAGGTTTCCAGGTCAATGTAAGATTTTCCCACAAATGTTTGGCCTGCTTCACTGCCTCTGAATCAACTTCTGTCCTTGTGTTGTGCCAAGAGACCTGAGGTCACTTTCCAAAGGTGGCTGTCTTTTATACTCTGGGAAACAGATAGTCCTTTACCAAACTGTTAGGAGCACAAACAGTATGTAAGCTTCCTTTTTCAAAGGTCAACGGCATGCACCTTTTCACAATTTGTCCCTCCCACCTGGCCTGTTCTGTGATTCAGGTAACGCGTTTTGCAATCAACATGCCATTGCTACTAAATTCAAGATTAATTTATGCTGGGCATGCTGAAAAATAAGTATCACTTGCTCAGTATCACAACAGGTAGTGGATTGGGAGCATTTGGATTTTTGGGGCTCTGTGTTTGTGCATTTTGCCAAGCACTGATAAATGATGCTGTACAGAATTGCCTCATTCCAAAGGCAGTTAATGTCTATATTGCCAATATTTTTACACAGTTCCTTTTACCTGGCTTAACTAGTTTTGCAATTTGAATAATAAAACTCAAAATGTCAGGTACTCTGCTGATACATGAGCTATATTAAAAGGTTTAAAGACCTCACAATAAAACACATCTGCAATGGTTCAACCTATTTTAAGTTCAATGAAGTATTCACTGTCTCCCAAATATTATTCAAAGGCCAGGAACAACGATGGATAAAATCTTTGTTTTTAAATTCAGATTTAGCAGTAAAATATTCTTTGTAATCTGAGGGGGTGGGTGGGTTTACATTTATTTTATATAGAGTGGCCTTTAGAAGTCTGTAGTACTCTTAGGCATTTAGATGTCTTACCAATTCACTCCATATTGCCATTTTTTGGTGTGTGGTATATTGGGTAAAATTTTATCAGCCTTGCATGGCGATACAGATAAGAAGCACATTCAGAGGAATTAACTCTGCTTTATGGTAAGGTTACATTAAGAGAATCTTGCAAGTCTATAAATACATGCCCACATGTTTGCCATGCCCACGTTCTTGCTGTGGGCTAAGGTGCCTCTTATCTGCCCATTACCCTGGCTGTACCTCTTCTCCCAGTCTCCCAAATTCATCCCTACATACCATTCCAAAGTTGATGGAAATGGTTCTATCATAGCCAGCCTAGATGACTTCTTAAGAATTTCCATAAAATTCTTAAAAAGATTTCAAAGAGCAAATGGTGCTGGAAAGTAATTTTATGCTCTTGATTAATGATCTTTTGAGGGATCACATTAAAAATTGCAAAGGTATTGTTTCAATTGTGATATACACAGCTAATCTCCCCTCTCTCTTCACTGCCATTCCCCCCTTTAAGATTGTTTCTACCTCCCTAATATTAGCAAAATACAATAAACTCACATTTTAAACTCACTTCTAACATTGCAACACTGTCAACATCATTATCACCACCATCATTATTATTATTTCCATTTTTAATCTTCCTTTCTATCCAGAAGGCGACAATGAAATTGAACTTGCTTCAGGTTCTTTGTAGCTGAACACATTTTTTAATAAAAATCATACATTAAAATGAATATCTGCATTTGTGGAGAAGCTTGGTATCCTTTGTCAAAAATGTGGTGAGCAGCATTAGTCACATAATGCAACACTGTAGTCATTCTAGCTGGTACATTATGTCTAGCTGGACCTTTATGTCATCATCCTATTATTTGCTGCTTTCTGGAAGGCCATTTGGGAATTATCTTAATTGTGGGGTTTGGACCCAGAGACCTGAGGTCCCTTTCTTAACTGCATTATGGCTTGTTTATTGAGCCTTTTGTCTCCCCACCCCACATATACATTCAAACAGACACATATAGGCATACACATAATTGCAAATACATATATACACATCCCATGTCAACTCCTAATGTCTTCCTAATGGTCATATTTGGTTGAAATAAGTTTCTGATTGAAAATCTACAGTGTATGGCATTTCCCTTGGACAATTGTTTATGGTTCCTTCTGAAACTTCAAAGGTTTTCCTTAGAAATGTAATCTGTCAGTGTGATAGTGCTACTTGAGGATTATTTAATCCATCCAAAGCATAGCCATATGTTCTTCTTCCTTCTGTTTAGACCAAAGCAATCTATGGGGTTGCCATGCCAAAAGGCTACCTTGAGCTGACCTTGATTCCAAGGGACCATGAGACATGCCACGTTTCTGCAAGCAGTTTTAACTGTGACATCATCCTGAGGCCCGATTTATCAACATTCCGGATCTTGCCATGGATGGAACAAACAGCAAGAGTGATCTGTGATCCCTTTATGGTGATGGGCACCCCTCTCTTGACATCACCCCGGCAAATTGCAAAGCAGCAGTTGAATCAGCTCCGGGAAAATGGCTTTGCGCTGTATTCTGCTTTCACTTACGAATTCTGCATCTATGGCATCGCTGAAATTGTCAATTCAAAGACAATCTCTTTTCCCGCTGCCACTCTACTCAGCAATCATGACCAGTCCTTCATCCAGGAACTCATGGATGGCATGTATCACGCTGGGGCAAACATTGAAAGCTTCTCGTCCTCGGCTGGTCCTGGCCAGATGGAGATCTCTTTTCACCCAGAGTTTGGCCTGGGTGCAGCGGACAGTGCCTTCACTTTCCGGACAGGCATTAAAGAAGTAGCCAAAAAGTACAACTATATTGCCAGTTTTTTCACCGAGAATGGATTCTATAATTCTGGCATTCTGACCCATAGCCTTTGGGACAGCAGCAGACAGCATAATTTGTTTGCTGCTGGAGCCCCAGACCTAACTGAGATAGGGAAGAATTGGCTGGCTGGGTTACTGACACATTCTGCAGCTCTTAGCTGCCTGATGGCCCCCACCGTCACCTGCCGCAAATGGTATAGCGGGTGTAGCAAAGGCTCCAAAGAGGCTGTGGTTGCCAAGGGAGCGTGGAATGACAACAGCTGTGCATTTAACATCCAAAATCATGGTGACAAGGGGACCTGGATAGAAAATCAACTGGGCTCGGCCACAGCCAACCCTTATTTGGTACTCTCGGCTACGATCGCAGCAGGTCTGGACGGGGTAAAGAGAAAGCTCACGTTCCAGGAGGCCTCAGGGAAGATCCAGAGCTCCACTCTGACGAAAGCAGGCATGATTCCTCTGAAGCTGGAAGATGCTCTTGTGGCTCTCCAAGAAGATGAGTGCATCAGGGACGCACTGGGGGATTATTTTGTCCAGTACTTTGTCAACTTAAAGCAATATGAGGTGGAAACTGAGGAACTGGATGTGGAAAGGAATAAATTTTTGGAATATTTTATCTAGTGTGAAGAAAAGATTGGAGAGTTAATAGAAGCTAAGCAATGCAGCTGTAGATCAGAAAGTCTCTGGATCACCTTTCTTTTATAAGTGACTTTTTAAGTGACTTTAAGGAACTTCTCTTTTTATTATAAGCTGCAGTACAGCTAATAAAGGTGCAGGTAGCAATGAACTGATTTACTGTGAATGGTTATTACAAAAAACTTGAGAAAATGCAATGCACATGAAGTTTTAACAGAATATTAGTTTCCTATAGCCCTTTATTTGAATATAGGTTATTTTGCATGAGACTGTTTTTTCTTGGAGAGTCCAGATCAATCTACATGTCCTCTTGTTATATAGATTTCAACTGCATTCAGCTTCATGTCTTATTTTCCTCTGATTAATTACAAATTGGGAGGAGGGAATATTACCTCACAGCATGCCATGAAAAGAGACTAATATTTTTTCTCTCTCAAATAATCAAAGCAAACATTTCTCCCTGGCTAGGAAAAAAAATCTCCATATCTCTATCTCTATCTCTATCTCTATCTCTATCTCTATCTCTATCTCTATCTCTATCTCTATCTCTATCT